TGGACGTAAACGAATAGGAGGACAGATTGGGATTGAGACCATGAACTTAAGTGAACACTTTGTCTCTTACATGATACCTTCTCTTAAAGATTAAATGTGTGCTAAAAATGAAACTGGAGTAAACATCCTAAGAAGCACGTCATCTAGACAAAGCACTTCTAAACTTAAAGAGTATATTTTTAAATAGATATTGAAGGCAAACATGACCACCTAGAAGTAAAGTGCATCTTGAAGAAGATAGTTAATAAGTGTTATATTGAAAACATGGCTACTTAAAAGCCTTGATCTCTTCTTCTTGTCATTCAAGATTAGATCATGTTAGAATTTAATAGAATTGACATTTATGTCTAGAATTCAAAAAGATTTAAGAACAAATTGAATTAGTAGTAATAATCACATGGCTTACACTTTTTTTAGAATAGTATGTTTAAGTATTGCTACTTTTGCACACATAGGTCACATACCCCCATGGTATTTTTATGATGCTAGATAGTTTAAGCACATCAAGGATGTCTTTTTGAATCAAACCACCACATAGGTGAATTTGGAACTTATGAAAGATACTCGGACTAGCACTTTTGTATGAGATCTAGTATTTTTATATTAAAAATTGAATGTCCTTGTGGCTTAGTCTACTCTATACGAATTAGGCTATCTTGACATAGTCCACTTGAATAAAATGAGCACTTGAAGCTTAGTAAGTAACACCATCTTTAGTGAGGAACATGTCCAAAACAGAGATATTGAATTAGTTATTCTTAGCAAGGTTTCAACGATGACTAGATGTGAATCCATATGGATACTTTTCTGGAAGGTATTGGTATGTTAAGTTTTTGAAGGTCAAATACTTTTTGGATTATAGTTATCTCTATGGTATATGAATAGCTCGATAATGAGTACTTGATAGGCCTCACTTTTTTATGATATATATTCATAATTTTCTTCAAAAAAGGAGAGCATAGATTAAAGTAAAAGGGGGAGAAGGGTAAAATTGTTATCTCTAGTCATGTGTGATGATATTCTTGTTTCTTATTGTGTGTCATCTTGGGTTTATTGATGTTCATTTTAAACGATGTCATTAATGTGTATGTAATACATATATTCTTGTTGCTTAAAGAAATATAATATTATTGTTTTATATAGTAGCTCTCTACCCTTGGCAAGTGATTGATAATGGCTCTATTCGATTTTGATGATGCCAAAAGGGGAGAAATATATGTATGTATACTACAAAAAGGACTTCGATCATTCTCAAGACACATACATATGTTTGCAATTATTTTGCTTCAATCATTCTCATCTTTTGTTAATTGATAGTCCATCCGTTAAGGGGGATCTTTCCATGCACATTGTCTTGAATTTTGTTAATAGAAAAATGCTATTGTTAGAATGAATGTGCTCATGGGGAGCTTATTGAGATACATGTCTTATACTTGCTTATTTAAATTGAGGATGTTTATCATCATCAAAAAAGGGGAAGAATGATGACCCGATGCTTCATTAAGCATGATTATCAGGATCACAAACATCCAAAAGTTGAATTAATATACGCATTACTGTATGTACAAGTGTAGGGTCAAGTTTAAGTGGTTGCCAAATATGAACAATAAAGAAGAGAAAATGGCATGAAAACAAGGCGTCAAAAGCTAGACAAAAAGCCCATTCGAAAGATTATCCGGAAGGCCTCAAAATGTTTCTAGACTATGGCCAAGGATGAGGGAAGAAGATCCGGAAGGGTAATCAGGTTTTCCGGGTAGGTTATTAGAAAGACTGCTCCAAAAGACTAGGCACCCTATCCAGTACACTGGTTGAGATAGCAGCTAGAAGGACCAAAGTAGAAGCGGAAGCCTTTTCCGGAAGACCGGTTGGCACTGTCCGTTAGACTGGACACTATTCATGCATAATATCGGATGGAGAACTGAAAGACATCCCAAACCCTCTGAAAATCAAATTTTTTGAGGGATGAAAACAAGGAAAAAATATGAGGATGTCCGGTCTGCCGGATTGCTATTCAGTATACTGAATATAGTTGTTACAACTACCATGGCTATATCCGAAAGCTTATCTAGTGTGCCGGAAATTGTTCCAAACGCGACAAATTTGACTTCAAAACTCACTTATTCTCTCAGGAAAGATACCCAAACTATAAATAGGGATGTGTGTGATCTGAAGAAGACCTTTGAGACTTGATCTTGAACAAAGACAAAAAAAAAAAAAAAAAAAGAGCAAAAAACTTTTGTACTCATCTTGCAAATGAGATTCTTGAGAACTTTCTATTCTCTTTCCATTCTCTAGTTCTTTAAGAAAAGAGGGTTTTATATTATTCTTGAGTGTGATAAAGAAGGGTTTTATATCTTGTACCAAGAAGAATAAGATTTTAAGGGTTTGATTCTCACCCATTGAATAAAGTCAAGCCAGTGATGGAAGATTCTAAGGGGAGGAAGAAGAGAGGACAGAGGTTAATTGTGTTTGGGGTCGAACCTCTGTAAATCTTTTGATTATTTCTCTTTATCTTACTCTCATTTACATTGATTGTTTATATTCTCACCCACATCACATTTATTGTTCTCTCAATCATTTCTAGGCAAAACAATTTCTTAAATAGTGAAATTGTTTGAGAATTGGTATATCATATCCCTAGAAAGATCTCGTCAATATTGATACATTAGTAAATGCATTTCCTAAACTTTGTTGCTTTGCGGGGTGTTATTATTGAGAAGATAGAGTTTTGTGAATAATATATATTCTATATGTGGATTTGTGTTGATTCAGCCTACATACATTTGATATTGTCGTTATACATTCTCACTTTCTAAATGATTCCCTTTCTGTTATGGCTTTATTATTTAATTATCTTAAACTTGAGATCATTAAATATCTCAAGTTTTATTTTAAAGTTGTATATGTTATTTTGCTCAACCCAAGATCTACATGTTTTATATTTTTATAAACCTTTGTTTAAGTTTGGGAGAGTTTCTTTACTGGACTTATTTGCTCACTCCTTTCCTACATTTTTCAGATGTTGATATAAAAAAGATACCATCTTAGGTGAGCCTGAGAACCTTGAGGCTCAAGTGGACCAGTGGGTAATCTGGTTTTGGAGGGTTATTAGTTGTTTTTGGCTTTAGTTTTAAAATTGTGGATGTTGGAATTTAGTGTTTATGTTTTCATGTTAATTATTTGGTATAATGATTTTAAATTAAGGTTTTGTTGAATTTTAAGGTTTGGGATGAAACCTCTGAAGGTTGAATTATGTTACTCTGAAATTTTTGTTTAGTTAGATGATGAATGATGATAGATTTTATTTTAATTTATGGTATTTAGTTATACTCTCATAGTTTAATGGTTAATAATTAGTCCATGCCTATTTTTAGAAATTAGNTTCTTGAGAACTTTCTATTCTCTTTCCATTCTCTAGTTCTTTAAGAAAAGAGGGTTTTATATTATTCTTGAGTGTGATAAAGAAGGGTTTTATATCTTGTACCAAGAAGAATAAGATTTTAAGGGTTTGATTCTCACCCATTGAATAAAGTCAAGCCAGTGATGGAAGATTCTAAGGGGAGGAAGAAGAGAGGACAGAGGTTAATTGTGTTTGGGGTCGAACCTCTGTAAATCTTTTGATTATTTCTCTTTATCTTACTCTCATTTACATTGATTGTTTATATTCTCACCCACATCACATTTATTGTTCTCTCAATCATTTCTAGGCAAAACAATTTCTTAAATAGTGAAATTGTTTGAGAATTGGTATATCATATCCCTAGAAAGATCTCGTCAATATTGATACATTAGTAAATGCATTTCCTAAACTTTGTTGCTTTGCGGGGTGTTATTATTGAGAAGATAGAGTTTTGTGAATAATATATATTCTATATGTGGATTTGTGTTGATTCAGCCTACATACATTTGATATTGTCGTTATACATTCTCACTTTCTAAATGATTCCCTTTCTGTTATGGCTTTATTATTTAATTATCTTAAACTTGAGATCATTAAATATCTCAAGTTTTATTTTAAAGTTGTATATGTTATTTTGCTCAACCCAAGATCTACATGTTTTATATTTTTATAAACCTTTGTTTAAGTTTGGGAGAGTTTCTTTACTGGACTTATTTGCTCACTCCTTTCCTACATTTTTCAGATGTTGATATAAAAAAGATACCATCTTAGGTGAGCCTGAGAACCTTGAGGCTCAAGTGGACCAGTGGGTAATCTGGTTTTGGAGGGTTATTAGTTGTTTTTGGCTTTAGTTTTAAAATTGTGGATGTTGGAATTTAGTGTTTATGTTTTCATGTTAATTATTTGGTATAATGATTTTAAATTAAGGTTTTGTTGAATTTTAAGGTTTGGGATGAAACCTCTGAAGGTTGAATTATGTTACTCTGAAATTTTTGTTTAGTTAGATGATGAATGATGATAGATTTTATTTTAATTTATGGTATTTAGTTATACTCTCATAGTTTAATGGTTAATAATTAGTCCATGCCTATTTTTAGAAATTAGGGCGTAACCATATTGGAAATCAAATCATTTTTTCAGATTAGGGTTAGTTACTGGAAAGTTGCATTGATTCTAAGGAATATATCATTCAAAAAAACTTCACTAATCTTCTCGTTTTAGTTTGTTGAAATTATGCGAGAACATAAGCCGATTAAATTCAACACAGTAATTGAGAATGCATAATTACATCACCCAAAAGTCTCTCAATTCACTTTAGTTTAAAGGTCTAAATACTGTTAACTATAGTAACTCCTAAAAGCATTATCACACTCTAACCTTATAAATGAAACAAAATCCAAACATCCTGAGCAACCATCACTTGACATAAATGAGAAATTTATAGTAATTTTTGAAAGCCTAATGACATTCTCTAACCTTATAAATGAAACAAAACCCAGACCTCCGGAGCATCCATCACTTGACATAAATATGAAACTCGGCCATCTAATTCCCATAATTATCCGTGTATACATGGATGATCCTAATCACGTCACAAGCTCTATGTGCCTCTAATGAGGTCTAACAATGTCTCCCCAATCCGGTCAGCTTCAGGTATGCCGCCATGAATTTCCTGCAATTCACAAAGTGAAATGTTACTCATTAATAAACATTCTACTTCCTAAACATTAGATTGTGTTTTAATATGCAATGCTATTCTTGAACTTTTTACTGTGCAGTTGGTCTTTTGTTTGTCGCCGTTCATTGTACTGAAGAAATTTTTTGAATAAAGCTACAAAGAGCTCAAATGCTTTTTCTTCGTACCTCTAGACAAGAGGTAACAAGAATTGTTCCTCTCGAGGTAGTAACACTTGTATTATTGAGATCAAAGCCAAGGACACTCAGGGACTCCATCAATCTGGTGAATCCACCTCTTTTCTTCTCATATACCATCTTTATCCAAAGCTTATTCCCATCAATTGCTGTCACCTGCACTTCTGGCTATGGACAAAAAGAATAAGAATCCAATAATTTAAGCACACTTTGGGACTCCAAATTGCATGATAAACATGTTAATAAATAATTTAACCTTTATTCCCCATTTCTTCATCTCTTCTGCTGCAACAATTTCACCATTCTGAATTTTTGCCTCCTCTTCAAAAGTAGATTCCATTTGCAGAAGCTGATCCTCAAGATCTACAACACTTTTTTGTAGGCCCTTAATGTAATCGACTGCATCAGTAATTATTGTTGCTTTATTCATCTAAAATCAGATAACAAGTCTTAAGTTAGTAACACCGTAAATGCACATTAAGAAAGAGGCACTTCAAAGGGTTATGGGTTTTGGATCATTGCATTTGTGATGTTTGGGACTAATGAACGCAATTCCAGGAGCCTGTCATTCAGTTTCTCCCGCCGCCTCCTCTCAGCTTTGAGATTCTTCGATTTGTAGCCTACATTAGTATCATCACCACTGTCTATACTCCTACCCATCCTTCCTCCACTGTTCCCTTCTTCAATGGACATGTATAAATGATTCACAGTGGAGTTGACAAATTCCATAACTAGATAGGAAGAGCTCCTAATCTACTGTTGTGAGGGGACGCGGCGCAGACTATATATGCAGCTTCGAACGGGGGAAATTCTGAGATTCACATTCTAAAGGACAATGTTTATATAAATGCTAATCACGAAAGTAACATTCTTGAGGGAGAGAGAGAAAGAGAGAGAGGGAGAGAAAGAATCTTTTTGTTGTAGTTTGTTGAGCATCCATAACACTTTCATAATGAACATTGTTTTTACGGTTGTTGCGGGGAGAGAGAGAGAGAGAGAGAGAGAGAGTGTGGTCTTCAAATTTTCCCATTCAGTTAGTTGTTGGGATCAACACCGGTTCGATTACAATCAGAAAGTAGGTTCTGATACGAATTCGAGTGTTTGCCTTCCAATGATCTCTACCGTTAAGTGATGTGACCAATCACAGCTGAAATGGTAGAAATTAATTTGACCTAATATATTTTGTTAATTTTCTTACCTAGTTCATTATTTGATTGATGGTTGATCTACCAAATATTAAAATTTAGTATTAATTTAATAGTTACAATGAATCATATCATAAAATAAACAAATTAAGTAAAAATTTTAAATCTAAACAAATGAGCTAAAAGGGGTACATAGTGGAGCCGCATGAAGTGCATAGGGTGAATGAGTCTGCAGCCTATCATTCCTCTCCTATGTCATTACTAATATGAGTTCTCAATTCTGTTGGCGAGTAATTAGTTAGTTAGTATTGTTGAATATGGGAGGCAGGAAAGAGTGAGCAGATATTTAAGGGCATAAATAATCTTTTCTCCGAAACAAAATTTTAATCTGGAAAGCATGAAGATGTGGGGGAAATGTAAGTTGCGTGATGCCATTTAAAAGAAGTATTACTAATTGTGTTATGTGCAAACAAATTATCTGGAATGGGGAATTATTGTCGATGCTTCTTTTTTTGGTAAGTCATTATCATAGAAGTTATCTGTAGTAGTAGAAACCATAATAATAAGATCCGAAGGGCCTCAAACCGACGTACACGTGGCAGAACCACATAAGACACATTACAAAAAAGCGGAGTTTTTCACCAAACTCATTCCCCTCAAAATATTAAATTCGTTTCAAACTTATTTCTTAAATCCATTTATTATTTAAAAATGTCACACCAAATAACCTTTTTTAACAAGATAAAATTGAGAAATAAACATCACTTTAAATAACGTTTTAAAAACTTCATTTAAAGTGGCGATATACAAAATGAGAGTCCAACTAGTCCACTGAATTCAAACCAATTCATTGTATCAAACCATTGAAACTTCTTCCCCTTTTCTCTTCTCCAACCAGTGCCAGTCACCTCTTCATATCTCTTTCTTTTACCTTAGTTTGCCGCCGATATCCACCAGCAATTGCATATACATTTTCTCTCCTTCCTTTCATCTTCTCCAACCAGCTGCCAACCATAGCCACCTCCATTTTGATTTTTCAAATAATGTGAGCTGGTCTCAAACTAGTCTTTGATTTTTCTATTTTGATTTTATGTGAATTAGAGTTGGGTGGTGGCTGTGTTGGTCATGGGTGATCTGGGTTTTGAGTTTGTGATTGTGAGTGTGGTGAGAAATGGAATAAAGATTAGAAAGTGAAGATGGAGGAGCAGTAACAGTCCTTGGCGCCGACGGTGGTGTTCCAATTTCGATTTCATTTTGATGTCAGAATTTAAGTTGAAAATTTTTCTTCGAATGCTGATTCACCGCAATATCGCAAATCATTTCGCAATGATTTTATTTAACTGCAATGTTGTTTTTCAATGACATTTTTAAAGATGTAATTCAAAGGGACATTTTATCGTCTTTTCTAATGATGTTTTTTAAAAAATAACTGGATTTGAAAAATAGGTTTAAAAGCGTCTGGATTTGGGAATTTAGATTTTTAGGGGAATAGATTTGGTGAAAAAATGTCAACTATCATGTGACAAAGAGTGAAGCACTAATAGGCATAGTACCAATGCCTAAGAGCATCTCCAATCATAATTTAAATTTTTACTCAAATTTACATTAACATTTGAGTAAAAAACTTGATTTGATATAAATGAAAAACTCAAATTTAAAAAAAGAGAAACCCAAATTTAAATAAGGGCAAACTCAAATTTAAAATGGAGTATGGATGATTATTGGATCTTTAAAATATGGTGAAATCTCACCATTAAAGATTTGAGTAAAGATTTGAATCTTCTCAAAGTTGAGTAAAAAAATGAGTTTTCCTTGATTCGGTATAAGTTCGAGTCAAGGGTTGGAGCAAGTTTTTTAGACTATTTTACTCAAATTTAAATTTGAGTAAAGGTTGGAAATGCCCTAAGCAATGTTTATGCCAAATGAGTTATATTTTAGCCAACCGAACATGTTCAGGACCTAGCCAAACAACTGAAGAAGCCATTCCGTCAACAACGGAACCGAGTAACAGGTAAAACCACGCAAGAAACAAGGATTGGCATGGTTGAGTATTTCTCATTACGTAGAGCACCTTTAACTTTTTGCTCGAAGTGATCCAACTATTGGATCTTCGTAGATCAGAGAAGAAAGTGAAAGAAGTTTGAGAATCTCTCTCTTCTCTCTCTTGGTTTGTCTGTCTCTTTCTGTGTCTCGGAAGCTGGAAGCTGCAAGCTAAGAATGGGAAAAAATCAGATTTTTTCCCTTTAAATACCCTTTAAATGCTTGGCTCACAATGCGCCACAGGTCCCACTTTAATTGATCAATTTTTATCCCGAATCAATTAAATTTCATCATGAACTAAGTTTAGTATATTTTTATTGAACTAACTTTAAATTATTTCTCAGGTTCCGCGAGTCAAATTTGATTGCGTTTATTTTAGTCATGCAACAGCTGATCACATCCTAAAACGTAAAAAAACCGACTACCTTGGAATTCTACAAAAATTTATTGGATAGCTAGATTTCGTGATATGAATTCAACGATGAGGTTCATTTCATCATTTGAGTTTAAGAAAAATTTGGATTTTCAACCTGTACCGTAATGACTAATTACCATTTTGTCCTTTTGAATTAAATTTTAATTTTTTCGGGTTTTAGATTCTTTCCTCTTAAAGGAATTTCATCTCCAAAATTACACACGTGCACATTTATCAAAATGCGTATGCCACAAGTTATATACTACTTTATGATTGCAAGAAATGTAACTTCATCCTCAAACAAGAACGAATAGGTAGCACAGATAGTGTCTTTGTGCTCCCATATAATCTCCTCCATATCATGGTGTTGCCACATCACCTTCACTAGCCTCACAGTTATGCCACACGAAACCTGATTTTAATTATCCATGATATGCACGGGTCTTTCCTTGAAGGCCCCCACTTGTATCCACAACCAGCTCACCCTAATCCATCACATATGTAGGATCTGGAGTGTACTTCTAGAGCATAGAGATATGGAATACCATATAAACAACTAATAGATTTGGCGGTAGCCCAACCGGTGAGCAACTGTACCAAGCCTTTCAAGTATCTGGAATTCCCACTTCCCGAACCTGACCATTCCCTTCTTAGGCATGCTTTCAAGAAGACGTGATCTCTAACCTCGAACTCTAGAGGCCTCTACCGCCTATCTGCATTACTCTTTTGTTGGCTCTGTGCTATAAGAAGACGTTTTGGTATCATGTCCACTTTCTCTAAGGTGTCACTGATTAAGTCCGGATCTGTGGAAGGTTCCTCTCCAACCTCCATACAACATACCGGAGAACAGCATGGCGTCACATAAAGTGCGTCATAGGATGTCATATGTATGCTCATTTGACAACTATTGTTGTAGAAAAATCTAATAAGGTTAAGTGTTCATCCCAACTACCTTTTAGGTCAAGGACGCATACCCGAAGTATGTCCTCTAAAATCTGGATGGTCCTTTCTGATTGACCATTCATATGTGGATGAAAAGTTGACTCATCATCAACTGTTTTCCCATAGCTCGGTAGAAGCTCTCGCATAAGTGAGTCCATGAACCTGGGATCCTAATTTGATACTGTAGATATGTGTAATGCTCGATCATTTTCCCTAACGTCCCACATGAACTCGATTATGTGTGTAGATGGCTTATAGTGTATGGTGAGTATTGCTTTCCTGCAAGCTCAATGCAAGAAGTGGGAAAAATTGTGTGTAAATGAACAAAACTTATGTGAGTGTGCAAAATTGCTCCCCAAGAGTAGAGAGACTTACAATGTCATATTTTACTTGACATGAGTATTCCCTGGTCATCTCCTCAAGGAAGGCGAGGCCGGGTGTTCTTGAATAGTAATTTGTAAAAAAATAAAAATTACAAAATCTGGTGATTTAAAATTTTGTGGGTTGTGAATTGTGAAATATTCAAGAAAACGTGGTTGGCTAATCCATGGAGTTCATCCTAATGGGAATGCCCAATCAACTCATTTCATTCAACCAATGGTGTCTATGTGTTTTCTTGATTTGTAGAAAATGAGGAACCAATGTGGTTGCATTGGATAAGAGCATACCCCGTAACAAGTCTACAGAGTATCAAAAGCCCACAACCTTGTCCATACTCAACCTAGTCAAACCAAATATTTTACATTACGATGAAGAATTAAAGAGAGTTGATTTCACAAACTGAAGAAAAAATCCCTCTTCGATTAGCCAACAAAAAGTTTAGCTATCCATGGTAAAAGCAAGAACAAACATTAAGTAGGGAAACATGGTAATGAAATCAACTATGGACTTGTATTAATGTAAGAGAAAGTTTAAACTATAAAAGAAAAGATATTCATTTCCAAAATGTAAAGCTTGAAGGGAACAAAACCCAAATGTAGAAATTAACCACAAGAAAGTTAGCAAAACTTAATTACAAATTTGATTAAAAGAGATTAAAGTGCAAGAGGGAAAGATTGCATGTAAAATGGAGTTTACTACAATGAAAATGGTGAAGGAAAAATGTAAAACCCAGCTTTCTCTCTATAGAACTTCATCTTCTTCCTTAGACCTTCTTTCTCTAAAAGCTTGATAATCTGAAAATGCATATAGGAAGTTAGTATTTTCGTCCATCCCCCTCTCTCTTTTCATGAGTGGTTGACTTGGAGTGGTTGGAGAGAGGTTGTCCACAAAAACTTCCAAATTTAGTCAAAGCATGGCCCCTTCCTCTTTCTAACCACTCCCTCTCTCTACATTGGCCACCCACTCCCTCGTGCTTGTTATCTAAAATGTAGGGGTTAGGACGTCATGATGGAGTGCAAGAAATGTCAGAACGTGGATTAGATACCAAAGGGTGGGCCCCCGTAGTTGGTGGAGTCGTTTGGGAAAGGATATAAGCTTTTTGGGTTGCTAGTACCAGTACCTGGCGACGTGGTACTGGTACCTCGACATTTCTCATTGTTGAGTCAGCAAGGGCACATTTGATAGGTACCAGTACCAAAGGTAGGGAGGTACCAGTAGCTTCTTTCTAGTAGGTTCTGGTACCGGTACCAAAGGCAAGCAAGTACCAGTACCTTCTTCGTTTCCTCCATGTTAGCCAGCTGAGTTCCAAGTAATAGTTACCGGTACCTAGTGATGTGGTACAAGTACCTAGTGACTTGGTACCAGTACCTCTTCTTCTTGCTTTGATATTTTTGGTTCCTTAACCTCCGGATCCATCCGTCTTGAGGTCCTTAGGAGGTGCTTTACGATTGCCCTTTCCATCCTATCACCTGTAATCAAGCAATTCTCCATTAATTATCAATTTGAATCCATTTCCCCAAAAATTCACTACAAAACAAGTTAAAATGGATGCAATGAAGTTGTTTAATGTGCAATGTTCCACACCCATCACTTTATACAAAGTTTCATATGCAACATATCCAAGCTTAGTGTAGATTAAATCTCCCCGATTTCTCTCATAAGTACCTAAAATATTATCCTTTTTTGTCATAAATGTCAACCCAATGACAAAATATGACAAGCACAGTATAGAATCAAGTTACCCAGCATATTATTTCCTTATTTGTTATAAATGTCAACCCAAAGACAACATATACCAAGCATGACATGGAATGATGGTATTTGATAAAGGATCAATAAACAAGACTAAGAATATTATCACAATAAAAAAAAATAACGAAAAATATAAAAGATAATAAAATGGAAAAGTAAAAAAAAAAAGAGTAGAGTACTTTAGTACAAACCATGAATGAATAATAAACACTCAAATCTTTCATATAACCTCAACTAAAAGTCTCTAAAACACCTTAAGTGGCTATATCAATCTCCATCGTCTCCAATGTCTCTCGATACACCATCATACCGAGGAACATCTGTATCTGAATCTGTCTCATTTGGCCTTGGCTTTCCCATGATCAGCTTTCTCTAAATCAATCTGCGTAGTCGACCAACTCCCCTACCCAAAGACTACCTACTGAGCTGACTCCATGCTCACAATTTAATCATCAAATGCATCTAGTCTCTAAGAAATAAGAAGATGATGCTCCTTC